TTAAATTCAGCTCCGAGACGCGACGCTTGCCACGAATTTCCAATTCTAGCTAAGATCACAAATCAATTGGGGCTTTCAAGCACTTGTACTTATAGATAGTGCATGGTTAACTGTATTGGCTGGAGTTCACTTTGTACACTTGCTGTCTAACGGTAGCTGCAACCGTATCCGCATCGCATTGAGTCGCGCGCCAGACTAATCCGGCCGGGTTAGCAGTAACGAAGTTTCCATCTCGCCATAGTTAGCCTCACCGGCGCTCAGCTGTTTCTCTCTCGCTCTCCATCTGCCTGGCGCTCTTCGTATCTGCAACTGTTGCACAGAGCGCAGTTGCATTGGGTGCACTCTCTTTGGCATTTCTCTTCTCTTTCGTCTGTTGCATTAACGTGTTTGTTTAGCGGCTTCGCACATAATTATTTCGTTACAAACACGTTGCAAATATGCCCGAGTGGAAGCGGCTGAGTAGTGTGGGTGTCGCAGCTAACGGAAACCGGCCAAAGGATGCCAATGCGGTTATGAGTAAGTGTGCCTCTGTGTGTATGTGTGTTTGTAAGTGTGCATTTGTATGTTAGGTTTCGTGTTGATTTTGCTGTTATGGCAATGCAATTTAATTAAATTGAACTTGCCAAGTGCTAGGCAATAAAATAACATTTAATGCAAGTGCAGCAATAAAACAAATTAAAATCCAAATTGATTGATTGGGGATCAATGCAAGCTGGGCTATGGAATTGGTTAAGATATTCTCGAATAACAGTTTTATGTAACTTTAATGTCTAAAACTTTTTACTTCAAAATGAAACTATCAATAATATAAGCCTTTAAGCTGGCTTTGTTTTCTTGCCATTTCTGCTTCTATTGCTCTTATTTGGTCACTTATTTTAAAACTTTCAATTCTTTTTGTTATATTTTTGGGGGTCGAAGCACATTTTCACATCAACATTAAAAATGGGTATGTCTTAACAAATTTGAAGGTCAACCCACGTTAGTTAAATAGGCGTGATTCACACGTTTTATTTTTCCGCTCAAGCTAACACAAAAAATATCTGTTAAAAATAAATTTAAATATAAATTTCAAGGTTGGCGCTTTGCATTTTCCACAAGTCGAAAATCTAGCTTTAAATCTACACGCAGCTTATACACAGTTTACGTAAAGATAAAATATATTTAAGAACGGAATTTGATATGCGAGTAAAATCGATTCATATTATTTTATTATTATTGAATCAGTGATCCATAAAATCTGCTTTCACAATTTGTAAATTGAATTTGTGAATGTTGAAGCGAGTTGAAGTGCATTTAATCAGAATATCATTGGGTATCGCGAGTGTCCTTTGGCTTTGCATATGCATTGAATATATTATGCTCTTATCAGATTTTTTTTCCAACGCCAAGCCCCGTCCCGGGCCGGCATTGCATTCAATTTGGTTATTTCATTTGACGTTTTGCGTTCGCTTTTCCTCTGGGCCGACACATGGCGGATGTGAGAGCTGTAGGCAAGCGTTTTGTAACCAACCATGTGCACGGGCTTATGGGGAAAAGTGGGCCCATAAAACGTGCGAATGCCAAAGCGATTGAGCGGAAGAAGGCGCAGATGGCAGGGCGTGCGGTGTGGCGACTCGTGCGCTACGTAAGCGCAGAATGTAGGCTGACTCGTTGCAGTGTCAAGTGAAATGAAATTTTCAAATACGCAGTGTGTGCAAAAATCAGCGAATAAAAGCAAAAAGCGTTGTTTGTTTCTATTGATTTTTCTTGAACAACTATGGTTAAACAAACCCGAAGGCCACTGGAGGGTCGCGGTAAATGAGATGTCAACAAAAGCGATATCGAAACAGGCCCAAAGCCCAAGCTATCCTAACCCAGCAGACGCATGTTGTGTCTAAATTTAAACAGGTATTTATGGCGCCAGGTAAAGGACAAAATTATACAAAAATAAACATTTTAATAGCGCTCGTTTGTCTCTTGAGTCAGCCTGGAGCCAAGCGTGTCGTGTTAAAGGCACTCGGGCATATTTTGAATTCAAAAATATTTGGTTTCAGAACTTAAATGCTTTAAGCTGACGCTATTTATAGCAGCTTTCATTTCATTTAAATTAAAGTTAGTATTGGCATGCTTGAAAAGTTTTAATGGCTTGCGCTTACTTCTTATGAACTAACATGAAACTCGCTTAGTTAATGGATCGCCGAGGTGTAAGCAGGTTAGCCTAGAATAAGTAGCTGTACTCATTTTGTACATGCAGTCACTTGACATGCTTGGAGGGTAATTACACACACGACTACACACACACCCACCTACACACACTATTCCACGCACGATCTAATTATAGTGGAACTTTTCAACTTGGCTTACACAAATTTTGCAGCTCAGAGCGCGCATGTAAAGCGTTACCTGCTGTCAGGCATCGAAATTCTTGGTTGAAGTAACACCACATACCAATTATGGCAGTAAATAGGTAATAGGAAGACACAGCAGGCACATAGCCAGCTAGTGAGGGGGCCGGCACAGCTGCGAGTAGGCATAAAAATAAGCATTGATTGGAGTCAACGTTTGGCGCTGACAGCTTATGTCCTTGTCCCCAAGGCCTTGCCTGGCGACATATGCGACAACTTTGACTGTGAGTGTCACATAAATTGTGGCACACGCACTGCCACTTATACCATGCCCCGTGCTTAACCTAAAAAGTTATATTTGCTTCGACTTGTTTGACTTGGTCTGCATGAAAAGCAGCAGCAGTAGCAGAAGTTGACTTACATTTGCTAACTATGGTCTCAGCTTCGATTTCGAAGTAAAACAATTGCATAAGCTGCTTTTCGGCCACTGAATAAACTACAATCAATTTGCTCTTTGTTATTTTCTTTTTCGAAGAACAGCAATACTTGTGCTTGAGGATTAGGCTAATTGGAATATAATTGAGCTGAATAAGCAATCGAAACAGTTTTATAGTTAAGAAAAAAACCATATATAATATATAAATATGTAATTCAAGACTTTAATGAGCCAGCTAAAGATAAAGGCTGTCATAAAGCGCTGTTTTGCTTGGAAATCAAATCGAATTTTTGTTTAGGGACTCTAGCTAAACCAGTTAATCCAGAAAAAGTACAACTGAAGCTACTTTGTTTTTACTTTTGAATTACTTGAGCTTGGAAGAAGACTCAGCTGCCAAGTTTTAACAATTTAATTCAAATTTATGTCTATGCATATAAAAATTCAGTTTTAAATTTAATTTAAAATTTTTTATATTTTTACAAGTTTACCTATTGAATCAAAATACTTACATATATAAAATTTTATTTTAAAATATGTTTTTCTTTATATTATGCGAATATCTATTCAAAGTTCAAATTCGAATTCAAATTATAGCATAAATTCTTTAACGACCTCTGATTGCTTGCAAAATACTTCGCATCGAGCTCGCTCTGAACTTTTCTCAAAGATAATTTATTGATTCGTTATGTAATTCGATTGGAAACTCGTTTACAGATTTTGCCGCCAACCTAATCGAGCCTGACACATTATCAAAAGCGCCTGGGGCTGTCTTGGCAGTGGCTTGGGCTGGGATATCTGAAAATTAGAATTCACAATCTTCAATTGGCAATGTCGCCGAGAAGAGAAGCACTTGAGGGCAGAAAAACAAAAGTGACCTCCTGACCCCCTTTGCAAGGCGACATGCTGAGTGGAAGACCCTTAGATGAACTGCTTACAAAAGTGTCGAAGTCTAAGATACTCTGTACAGAATCAGCCTTAATAAAGTTGGTGTGAGATGAGCAAAGAAGTATATAAATAAATGAAATAAATTGTTTATTAGCAACACATTCAATAAATATTACGCTTGTTTCAAAATTTCGAATTTGATACGTAGCTAGAAATGGATACTGTTCGTAGAAGCACAAGCACTTGCCTCTAATGCCAGGTAATTTAACACCTGATATGCCCATTGTACCTCCCACATACGTATATCGTATACGAGCACGTTCTTATCAACAAAGCGCTTTCAGACTTTGAGGCAGCAGCAGATTTCTCGAACGATTTCCCTCTCAATGTCGATAGTTTTTGTTACTTCCCTGACAGTTTCACATTACAAAGGTGCATTTGCTGGCACCAAAGTAACTTTATATGATTTATTTGTTTTATTTACCTTTTGTCGAAACAACAATGACAAATTAATAAAAATGCGAAGTGTGCTCTGTGCTTGACACCACCAATAACCGATGAGCAACATGTGAGAAGCCTGATTGACTTATAGCTACCTCATGGTAACAGAATACTTATAAGGTAATTAAATACAATTGCGGACTTGCTGTAAATATTTAATTTAGTTTTTCTATTTACTTTGGTCATTTTAGTAGTGCAAATTTGGCTGAACAAATTTGCATACATTTAAATTGTTGTTGAAATATTTATTTCAAAGTTATTCTATAAACTCGAACTTTATGTCTTTATGCCAAAACAAACTCTTATCAACATTGCTCAAATATATATATTTTTAGTTATTGTATGTCTTTGAGAGTTAGCTTATAACTGAGACTGATATACAAAAATTTATGCTTTAAACTGTTCATATCTACTTCAATCAATCAGGAATAATTGCTCCCATGTAGGGCTCACTTTTTCTATCATTTTAATACAATAATTCATATTAGATTGAAAGGCCTTTGCAGCTCTCTAATTACCATTAATTTTGTATTTAATATTGTCCTTATCAGCAATTAAGTTAAATAACATATTTACGTCATTTTTTCTGCTATTAATGGCTCTGTTTTGTCTAGATAAATTGTATTAGACTTTGTATATTTCAGATCTTTCAGTATTTGGCTCACACGCAACGGCTAAAATGTTGGCGCAGTTTAATTGCTTGTGGGTGGCTTGAAGTTGACCAAAAGCCAATATGCCCCATTTGCAACGCTTTGAATTCAGGGGGTAAATAAAAAAAGAAACTGTCAACCTTAAGTAAAAAGTTCGCCCGTTGCCACCCGCCAGTTGGCAGTTGGGCTAGAAGTAACTCTTACCGTATTTGCCAGGAGGTTCTGGTCCAGCTTTAAGGGCGAAAAAGTTGGCAACAGCAACTGCTGCTGCTGTTGCTGCTGCTGCTGCTGCTGCTGCTTACTGACCCAGTTAGTTACTAGGGCTGCTGCTCTTGGCTCTTTAAATGCTGTTCCTTTGGTATTTTTGTTTAGATTCGAAACGGTGGTTTAACTTGATAGCTATCGAGCTGAATGCTTTGGCCGTGCTCTGGCAGTGTTTGCTTTTTCAATTGGCTGCAAAAGCTCATTTACCAATTACGGTTAGGGTATTTGATTGTTGATGTCACAGGTGTTGGCCTATTGGAGGTGTTGGCTTTCATTTATTTTAAAAATTTATCGATTTTGGTTTCTTTCGGCCATTCACTTTGCTCTTACAGTTAGCATTAAACAACAATAAATATTGACTTTAGTAATAAACATTAATATTTGGCTACACATAAATTTCGCTAATAGATTTACTCTGCTCAACTACGTTAACGTTAAATGCACTTTGTTAAGGGTACGGGTCAGAGGGTTTGGCTTACATACGCACAATTAGACAAAAGGTAATTCTTAATTTGTTATTTGTATTTAATTGGCTTAGTTGTATTTGTTTTTTTTTTTTGTAATTTATTTAGTTTTGTTTGAGTTTTTTTGTTTTTTTTTTTGTTGCTGCAAAACGATTTTTCTTGCAAATTTCTTGACTAGCAGCTTTCGTGCAGGTTTCCGCCCGAGCTGAAAAAACACGTCCGCACTGTGCCACGAGCCAGGAGAACCTGAAAATCAGTACACATACTGCCCCATAGACCTAGACTCGGCTTGCCAAAGCACGCACTCTCTCTCTCAGTCTGTGCCTCTATGGGGCGCTCTCTCTCTCTCTCTCTCTCTCTGTTGCGTTGTCTCCGTGTTTATACCACATGTTCTCTTGCGTCGCCGCAGCACCCACGCGGCATCCTGTGACATTTACAATGTCACAGAGAGCAAAGCCAAGAGAGCGGGCAGCCATACACGAGCGAGAGCTGTGAGTCGAGTGTGACCACGAGTGTAGGCTGCTTGGAAGGTGTTGTATGGGGTGGTCTAGGGCAGCCGACTACAATTTGTTTTCATTTTGTTCTTGGCCGGGGGCCAACTCCTTTGGGGCGCTCTCTCTCATTTTTTTTTGATTTTGCAGTGATGTGTTATGAATGTTTGTTAAGTATGATTGTTTGGTGGCTCGTCATATGTTAGAATGAGCTGGGCTGTGCCATAAAGTACAGGGTATACAAGGGCAATTGCTGATAAGCATTATGAGCAACAGTGCAATGATATGAAAGTTAAATAAAATAAAAACTTTTATGATGTAACTGAAAGCAATAACAATAGAGAATTCAAAGAAAAAACACGATGAATAAAGTAAGCCTTGCAGCATTTATTTCTTCTGGATCTCAGTCGCAGTTAAAGCATAGACAGATGCTGCTCTATATAATACTTTGTTAGCCAAACAATTGCTCTAATTCCAATTCCCGCTAATTTTGTTACCTAAATATTAGGCATTTGCATCCAATTTCTATATTTATTTCAAGCATCGCTCACATTAATCTTGTTGATATATATATTTGTGTATCTGCCTTGACGTGCCTTCTAATTCAGCTGCTGTAAGTGAACTAATGATCATAACTGGGCCTAGAGCAATTCGGCAGCTAAAGGTCGTGGGGCAAGAGACGTCTTAAAGTCAAGCGAGCTTTGGCCAGTTCGTGCGCCATAGATCATCCATTCTATAGCATGTGAGCTGTGCATGTAAGGCGACGTCAATCTGCTAGGCTTGTCATGATAAGTGGCTTCCAGTTGGCTATCAATCAGAGAATTGTCCATATGATTAGACCGCGCCAAGTCTTACTGAACAATGCGAAACGCTTTGAATATCTCTATCATCAGGTGACCGCCCATTTGCCATTTGGTCATTATGGGCGCGTGTCTGCGGCGCATTGACTGCCAAGTGCTCGGGCGCCCCCAATTGAGGCTTATAAAGCAATTGAGTTGTCGCTGCTGACGTAGGCAACCTGGGCTAGGGGTTTCTCTCCAATCATTGCAACTTTGAAGTTGGCTGCCCGCCTAATCAGGGCCTCGTGCTGAGCAAACATTTTAGTTATCCATCAAATTGTTGGTGGGGTGCAGTTGTTTATTAATTTACTGGGTGCTGGCTAATGCTGTTGGTTGCTTATGCTAATTATGTGGCTAGGTAAAGAAGCGGTGCGGGTAGTCTATGTGGTGGTTGTCTCTGTTCCGCTCGTTCTCCCGCTGCCTCTGTCTGCCCCTTTCTAGCTCCGGCTGGCAGGGATCAGCAGCGTGCTTTGATGAGTGTCCGCGATGCTCACGGGACCAGGCGCGGTCATCAGGCGTATCATCGTCATAGTACTGATCGCTGTCCTGGCCATAGGCATCCGGATCTTCAGCGGAGCTAAGCTCGCATAGCGGATTGCCACGTCCGCGCGGGTGGCCCGGTGCCGCATGTTGCGGGCCCGTTGCCGAATGTAGCTGGCCCGGTGCATAGAGTTGCGGGCCCACCAAGCCGTAGCTACTTGGCAAATTGCGTCTGTTGGACCAATTGCGTTGTGGCCCTGCTGCCTTTCTACCACTGAAGCGCCTTGGATGCAGCTGCTGGTCGTGGCCGCCCACCTCATCGCTGCACTTGATGCCCCGCACAATGTTGTTCATGTAGATCGAATGTGGCAGCGGCTCCCGATACTTCGGCCTGGGTCTGGGCATAATTTGTTTGTTGCTCACATAGAAATCGCGGCGGTGCGGCTGCTGCGGCAACATGCCAATCCGCTGGCGTGGCTTCACAAATTGCCCCTCATAGAGAATGGGCTCGACAATGTTCTTCATAGGCTTGCGATAGCGCGACCCATGTGGCATGTGCCGCATGCTGCCATCTAAAGAAAAGTTAATTTCTGTTTGTTTTTTTTTTTCGCTGCGAATCTCAGTTTCAGCTTTGCACGTACCTGTCTCCTCGAGCGACGAAAACTGTGGACATACATGCGTATCCTTTTCCGCGGTATCGTTGGAGTCGCTGCTAGCTGTTACGATATTAAATGACAAATTACAGCAAAGTCAAGTCCATGAAATACTAATAACTATTTTCGCAGCTATGTTCTGCGACTTTCTTCATAAATTGGCAAGGCAAACGAATTTACGTTTGGCCTTAGTGGTGCCACCTACCTGCAGATTCGCTGTCTTCTGCTCCGGAGCTATCTACGTTTTCCGTTGTTGCTTCCTCATCTTCCGATGTGTCGCTGCATTTCTTTGCTTTCTTGCCTTTTGCTGTTCCCACGAACGCTTCCGGCCGCAATGTGGTGGCTGTTTCACGTGCTGTTAGCTCAGCTGTTAGATATACCGGAGATACCTCACTGGACTGCACGACCCCATCGACCTTGATATTGGGCGCATCCGGCACACTGGCTGCACTGATCCGTTGCCGGTTACGGCGTTTCCCATACTTTCGCTTTACATATTGCTGGATTTCTTTTGTGGTCGTCTCATAAGTTGTGGTTGGGTATTCAGTTGTGATGGGCGGGGTCACTGTGCTGGTGTAATCAGTGGTGCTAGGGACCTCGGTTGTAGTGTCGAGTGTTGCTCCCAGTATTGGGTCATCTGTTGTCGCCAGCTCGTTTGAAACTGGGCTAGCGGTGCTGTTGTCGCAAGCTGTGTTCAGGTTGTCTTGTGGTCCGTTGGGACTGCAGTTTGTGTCATTGGGCAGCTCGGCACTGCGACTGCTTCCTACAAGCTGCTCGGTGCTCAGGCTGAAGTTGGTGCAGGGATCATGCCGCATCAGAGGCGTGCGCAGCACCACCACACGTATAAAGCAGGGATGATCCATGGGCACCAGCGGATTGGCACAGGGCACCGGCGTCGATGATTTCTCAGCGTCATAACGGGGTCTACCCAAGTCGCCGCATTCTTCGCTGTCGTCGAAGTCCTCCTCGAACAGGTTCAGCTGGTCGCTGCTATCTAGGGGCACGCTGTCTTCGCACGGTACTGCGGAGGCAAACAGCATGGGCACGGAACGTTGACGGCGCTCACTTAGCTCGGGGCTATCCTCACGCAGTATATTCCGCATCATCTCCAGCATTTGTGTCTCGCGCTTAGGCAGTGCCGAGCTAAGTTTCGTATTGGAGTTGATTTTCTGGATTTTGGTCTTTAGATTTGTCAGTTTTTAGTCAACTTACCCGATGTTTGCCCCACAGAGCAACACCCACAGCACCAGCAGCATCGATAGAGTTGTTGGCGACTTGGCGGTTTCCATGGAAATGTTGCCACAGCTCTGTCAGCGCTTGGCTTTTGTTTTGTGTGCTGGCGACGTCGGCGGCGTCTCAAATGCTCGATGGCACACGTATTTGTCAGATACCAAGTGCTGCGCTGCGCTCTCACTTTCGGGCAATCGAAATGCCGCCCTGACCCGCCCCCGTGCCCTGCATCTGAGTTGATTTTGGGCGGTTTTGGGTTGCCCAAAAATCATAGTTTCTGATCTGCTTTCTCATTAGAACGTCTCTGATCGACCGTCCGTCTGTTCGGTCTTCGCTTTCAGTCGCTACGTGACCTGTGGGCAGAGTTTGCCGATTTTTTTTATTTTTGTGTTTATTTTTTTGGTAATTTCATTTTTTATTTTTTATTTGTATTTTTTTCTTTTTTTTTGATTATTTTCCACTCGCTTTTCGCTGTTGTTGTTCTACTCGACTTGCATTTTATTTTTATTTTCATTCGTTTGGCCACCCTGGGCTCATCGGATTTACCTAATATGTGGGGCATATTCATTTACTGTATAAATATATGCATATTTTAAAGTTGTGCCAGCTTAGCCATGTATGTACCTTACACTCGTCTAATTAGGCATTTAGTTTATGGTGGTAATGAAGTCAGAATAGCTTATTTTTTGTATGACTTCAGGCTTCCACAACGTCTCAAGATCAATGACTTGAAAACCTTTTGATATAATAAGAAATAATTAATAAAATATATGAAGATGTTATAGATGGCCAGGTCGATTTAAAATATAATCCTTTATATTAATTATTTACACTTAATTTAAATTATACTTAGTTAATATATATTTAATTGCTAGAGACTGCCAGATAGGTCTTGAGAGGCTGGTGTCTGAACCTACTCCTAGCTCCAGTGCAGAGTTTAGCTGATCTTTGGCTGACAAACTGATCGCTCCAAGTATTTTTTGGCCACCTTCTGAATTTTGTCTCCAATTTTTGACAGCTTGAGGTATTACTCGTTCTATAAATAAACCCTGCTTGTATACTATTCATACAGCACACAGCTGTTTATTAACCCATTAAGAATAAAGTTCGATCATCTAGAGCATCTGCCAGTCGAGCAGTTGCGATTCGAGCATTATTACTTGTTCTTTGTTAGCATTTGATGTTACATGTCTGTCGCCTTGTTTAAGCTTTATGATAATCACTTTTTAGCCACTCGCTCGCTGGTACGGTACGGTTGGTCTGGGGGCAGAGAGGTTTATTGTTTTGTCTGGCTTTCGCTTTTTATGGATCTATGCAAGTGTTTTTCGTTTTGTGGGTGCTCTGCTGTCTGACTTGGGTAAATAATACCGTCAGACTGTTTGTGGGTTTGCACAAGAGAACAGAAGCAACAATAACAACATTAGCAAATGCTGACAGCCGGATTTCACTTATTCTCTGTACAATTTTCCCAAGCTTTGCAGATGGTCTTAGATCACGTCTAATTTTAATTGATTCTAATTGGAGCAGCTTATTGTAGTGGCCAATAAAGACGATTTTTTTGTGAGAAACAAACAGGCAAAATGATGATTAAGACTTTGCTTTACTTTTCGCCGTTGGCAATGGAAAATCAGTAAAGTTATGAATGTAAATAAAGCGAATTATAATCCTAGTTCATTAGAATTTAAATAAACATTATTTCTGCAAATCTTTTTACTTACCAAAAGACATTTTCAAGTGCCAGATTATCTAATCTATCTGAGCGAGATACTCTATAAGATCGACTTGTCATGCGTAATCATAATAACTTACTTTATGGAATCAATTTGGGTATTAAAAGCCTAGAGAGACTAAAATTTGTGAAGGTCATAAAGATAGTCGATATGGAGAATATTCATAAAAATCTCAGACAGATACAAAGACTTGAGTATTATGATAAGCGTGTTGAAATGGGAACAAAATATCTTTGCACGCTTGAATTAAGTGAATCTTTTATATGACATAAAAAGTTGTGTAAAAGCGAAAGTATTCAGATGATAACAAATACTATTTATCTGAGATACTACGGAATATTGGAAGATGAGTAAATAAATATTTATATTAATATAAAAATAACAAATAAATATTTATATATATTTAACATTCCTATTATATCTTAAAGCCACTTTGTAATCTGTCTGAAATAATATAATCTTCTTCAGCCACATTCAAAACTGACTTAAGCATTCCCCGTTGAGCCTCTGCATGAGATTTTCTTAGCATTCCTCACAACAACTATGTGGCTCTCGTGTTTCCTTTCCGCTCTCCATTAGGAAATTTACGTAGCTGTTGCTTTTGCCACATGCCGAGCTGTCAAGTTGTCACTGCAAAAATGTGTTGGACAAATGTACTTCTAACGTGGCTTGAACCCTAAGGAAGACTTCAGCTTAAGCAAGTTTCCAGTGTAATCAAAAAAAATAATATATATATACAAAGCAAATGCTTTCATTTGCGATTTATAATTTATGTGGGATGGCGAGAGGTTTGTAAATATACTTGAATTAAAAAATATTTGTACTCTGAACCAAACAACAAATTTTTTTATTTATGGATTTGGGCATTGCTTTGTTGTCCACATAAATTGAATTTTAGGGAAAAGTTTTCTTCTATCTGTTTTATATATGACCTCAAGTAAGTATAAAGTTTGTCTAAATATCGTTTCTGTGTTTGATTATTTTGTAGCAAAAAGATTTCTCCCACACACGAAACTTGAAGAAAGTTTTCGGTAACCTTTTAGTTCTGTTAACCATTTTATGCTATTAAATTAAATTGTAATATTATTATTATTAAATTATAATAATAAAATATATAATACTGTTACAAATATCCGCTCGGAGTGCGCTTCAGCAGATAAAGCAGCTCTCTCTTCATCGTATATTAAATATGTAGTCAGCTCAGTGACAGACGACAAGAAGGCTGTCGAGGAGCTGCCAGGGAAAGCCATGTCCTGCTGATGTGCTTTGTTGTTCTTGTCTTGCCATAGTTGCAGGTTTTATTGTCGCTGCCTACGAAGAAATGTTTACAGTTCCACACGCGACACGTTCAACAATGTTGACAAAGCGTATGCGTATCAGTGTCAAGGTGGGCCTGGCCTCAGAGCAGGGAGTGTTAAAATGTCCTGAAAATGCGTGGCAAAAGACTGTCGAAAGGCTGTCTACACAAATTTACATAAAACCATGTGCTACATTTTCATAGCCAAAGCCTTTGTTGACTTGAGGCTATGTCAAGCTTTCGATACGCAGAACATTTAAATAAGTTATTGTAATATGATATATATTTTATGGAGTCCGCTGCATAAGGTATTATGTCTATTCTGTGAATTTATCGTCAACTCAGTGTAAACAATATTATGAATTATTTAAGGCAATATTCATATTCATGTAAAACATTTTGATTGATTTAAATGGATAAGTGAAGCACATAAATTTTATTTTAAACATATGATTAAAAAAAATTTACAATCTAAAACATTTTAACCAACCCAAAGTAGATTTGCTTTGCTTAAAAGTTCTTTTAATTGAGTGCTAGCATCTTCTTCTCTATTAATTGTTTGCCACGTGATTTCTTACAAACTAATTTACTCTTCAATTAAGATTAAGCTTGCGCTTGCTAGAGAGGAAGCTTTAATTGATTTTGAACTTGACTTTAAATTGATGGAGCTCCATTCTTTAAGATGTTGCAGTTAATACTTGAATTTTTAACATTTTTTCTAGATATTTTTGGAGTTTGGATGACAAAGTGATATTGTTTATATATATATATATATGTATATAGATATATGTATATAGATAACTAACATCATTGTCATTAGCTGTATAGTTCATATTAGCTAAGCATACATATGCATCCAGTATCCAGTATAAATTTTGTATATACATCCAGATACAGGTCTGCAGTTTTTTTCTATTTGCCTCTGTTTTTTATTTTTAAAATAAAACAACATTTTTAAAAAAATATTAAAAAAGCGGACAAATTTATATTCAACATCTATCTTGATATATATAATATATATATATATAAGTTCCGCCAGTCACGTGTGCCTTCGCCATCAAAACAGAGAAACTTTTTGCATTGATACAGACAGCTGATCATTTCTATATACATATAGGCAAATCTGTATATCGACTCGACTCATGACTGTGTTAATAATCATTTTTGTAGACAATATTATGCATTTCTATATACATATATAGATAAGTCCCCATATTGACTTGACGCATGACTGTGCAAAATATGATAATTTTTAGACTACATTTATATTTGATGGTGTCAAAGACATCTGAATGAATATGCCACATAAAATATATTTGTATTTAGGGAATTAAAAACGCTCAGTTTGGTTTATGTAATTTTATTGCTTTGCTTGCAGCTTTACGAACTTAACAGCTCAGCTTTGTCTTTGCTTATAGACTTTAAGAGCTCTAGCTGCCTGGGCATAGTCTGGGCATAGACAACTGTTGCTGGGGGGTCGCGGTGTGTGTGTGTCAGTCTGGAGCTGTGTGTGCGCTAAGTAACGTCGCGTGGATATCGTGAGTGGGCAATTTGAGTTTGAGTTGTGTGAAATAATGTTGACAAAATACAAATATTTTCCGATTGTTGCATTCGCAGCTTGTTCGATGCCAGTTCGGTGCGGTTCATTCCTGGTGTTTCTCGTCTGGCGGCTGAATGAATGCGCTTCGGATCTGTCAAGATTTGCCAAAATCAAAAGTAATTAAAGCTAATCAAAGCTTTAAGTGCTGCCCGCAGAAACCCCATTTACAGACTTTTGTGGCTTATGTGAAACTTTTTATTTCATTTCATTTTATTTTCATGTATTTGTTTTCTTTTTTTGAGTTTTATTATGTTTTTTTTTTGTTTTTGTTTTTTTTTGTGTTTTGTTTTTGGTTTGTTTTTTGTTTTTATTTTTTTATGTTTAAATACTTATGAAAATTGTTGTTAGCTTCTGCTTTGTGTTGTTGTTCATATGAGTGATGTGAGTTTTTTTATATTAATTTTTTTTGCTAAATGAAGTTTTTGCCATTTT